CCACGAAGCCACCCTCTTCCCCTCCCCTCTTTCCTCTACCCTGCCCCAACCCGTAACGAGTGTCTTACAAAAACACAGATGAAGCACATACACATACATGTTAGAATGGGGGCTGGGGGGCAGGGTAGAGGAAAGAGGGGAGGGGAAGAGGGTGGCTTCGTGGGAACTGATGATGATAATGTGCCTTGAACTGAGAAAGAGAGAGAGGGAGGGGGGCAGGGGGAAAGGGAGAAAGAGGGATGGGTAGGGGGGAGGAGGGGGGAGGGAGAGCGGAAGAGGACAGGAGGAGGGAGGGGGAGGGGAGAAGAGGGATGGGAGGGGGAGAAAGGGGGAGAGGGAGGGAGAGGAGGGGGAGGAGGAGAGAGGGGGTTGGAGGAGACAGGGAGAGGGAAAGGGGGGAGGGAGCCGGTTCAGGGACGTTAAAGCCAAGCAGCTCAGTACCTGGCCCTGTAACACCCATCACTCCTTCTGACCACTTCCTGCGGAGCTAAATGCTGTGGCAGCTGTTAAGCGTCGCTATTACACCTTCACCCTCCCCCTCCTCTGCACAACCAACCTGCAGCTGGGCCATCCGGTGCCCACCCCGTGGGTCGGGGGGCACCTGCTTTCCAGAGATGCCGCTTCCACTGGGCTTTCCGAGGGGCCCGCCCACCACCCCCCCCCCCCAACGTGAAGAATGGCTACTTTAAGAGGAACCCATGTGCTGCCCTCCCTACTTTTTCTGTATGCTTGAGGCTTCCTGTAGCTGAAAACGTTTTCTTTGAAAAGAATCCATTTGATCTAGGGAGGAGGAGCTGTCACAGGAGAGCCGCAGTCAAGCCCAGAGCTGCCGGCCTGGTGGTGGCGGCCACCACTGTCGCATCCGGGGGAACCCCGGCTTGAGACCGGCGTGAACCCCACAGCCGCCCTCCCACTGTGACCAGCCAGCCCCGCCGCGCTGACAGCCTGCAGTGGCGGCGTGCTATTAGGGTGGGGGTGGGATGGCCTAGGCTCCAGCCTTGGGTGTGGGTCCTGATTGGCTAATCCCTCTCCCCGGCCCCAGTAATTGGTTCAAATAATCTGGGCCCCACCCAATCAGAATTTGGCTGAGTCTGGAAGAAGGGCCTGGATTCGGTTTGGACCCAGGTTCCAATTTGGGCGCAGGTTCCTCTTGGACACAAGAGGGAAGGGTTGGGCAGGCATCTGGACAAGTGGTTTTTCACTCTTCTCAGAAAGCTACCAGAAGCCTCCAGAAGCCTCCTGAGCAAAAGTATTTGGATTTCAGCCCGACCCTGATGCAGCCATTTTAACCCCGTTAGGGGCCCCGGGCATAGGATCAAGTGAACACTTTGGACAGGAGACCTCCAAATTTCAGGGAAAGTGAGGGCTCGATGATCCTGCTGACCCTCAGGACAAACTGGCCTCGAAAGCTGCCTCCTTCTGGTCCCCGCAGCCCCTACAGTGGGTTTTCCACTGCTTACACATGAGGAACCATTTCCATTAAGTTAGGACTTTGTGCAGAAAGGATGTTGGGGTTCCAACCCCTAGTCTTATCCTTCCCCCTGGAGCCACAAGGAGAGGAAGGAAAAAAGGACGGGCGCTGAGATGTACTGAGCACACAGGTACCACGCGCTCTGCAGATGGCTATGGATCAGAAAACTATTTCAAAAGTTCGGCAATAATGCCCGGCAGGTACCCTAGGCTGATAGAAAAGCTGAGTGAATTGGCCGGAAGATCTAGGGCTGCTTCTCATCTAGACATTCTTTCACTATACAAAAAGTAAAAACGTGGGGCACCTGGGGGGCTCAGTCAGTTAAGCAGCCGACTTTGGCTCAAGTCATGATCTCACAGTTCATGAGTTCGAGTCCCGCGTCAGGCTCCGTACTGACAGCTCAGAGCCTGGAGCCTGTTTCAGATTCTGTCTCCCTCTCTCTCTGCCCCCCCCCCCTCCCCTGGTCACCCTCCCTTTCTCTCTCTCTCTCAAAAATAAATAAACATTAAAAAAATTTTTTTAATATATAAATAAAAACGACCCCAATGGCAAACCTTATACAAAATGAATCCTTTTTGCTCAAGACTTAAAAGTGCACATTAAAGTGAGCAAGACCCACAAATAGAAAAGTACATACAACCTAAGCTCAAACGACCATCCTCCGGAGAGAACTGGTAAGCTTTCTATTCCTGACCAGTTTTGTTTTTCTATCCTAAGTTGCACCCAGCATGGCTGAGCTAAAATTTTCCAACAAAATATTTAAGTTGGGTTCATAATAAAAACTCCTTCCCAATACCCAGTTTGGCTACATTTGCAAACTCCTGTGGTAGACAGGTCCCGAAGCCAACCTCCACTTGACTGGGTTGTTTTCCATCTTGTTTTTTATTTTTCATCCTGGGAGCCTCCCTATCCTTTTTCTGAACACCCGACAAGGATCTGGATTCCACATGCTGCCAGCTCCATTTCCCTCGAATCCCCGTCTCTTTCTGATTTAGAAGGCACCCGGGGCGCCTGGATGGCTTAGTTGGTTGAGCGTCCGACCTCGGCTCAGGTCATGATCTCACAGTCCGTGGGTTCGAGCCCTGTGCTGACAGCTCGGAGCCTGGAGCCTGCTTCGGATTCTGTGTCTCCCTCTCTCTCTGCCCCTCCCCCACTCACACTCTATCTCACTCAATAATAAATAAACATTAAAAAAAAATTTAGATGGCGATCGAATTAGGCAGGTCTTGGGGATGGTCCCGAGGCCACCAAAAATAACGATTAGCATTCACTCAGCATCAGGCCCTGCAGAAACGTGATCACAAATCCTTCTGACAACCCTCCAAAATAAGGTTTCCTTTTCCAGTTGTGTAGATACAGAAACTGAGGCCCACGGTCTCGGCTGGCAAGAGGGAGAGCCAACTTCCAACCTGGTCTGAGTCCACCGCCCAGCGCTCGGCCAGCGCACGGTGCAGGTAAGCAGAACACCTGTGCCGAGCAGGGCGGATACGATCACCAACACCCCTGCACCAAGCAAGGCAGGCAGAAACAGGACACACCTGCCCTGAGGAGACCAGCCATAAAAGCCAATGGACTTGCACACCTGCCCTGAAGAGCAGGAGTAAACACAACACACCTGCACTGAGGAGCACGCCTATAAATGCAACACCCCACACCGAGCACCACGGGTGTAAGCCTACCACGCCTGCGCCGTATAAATACCGACACGCCAGCGGCAGCAGGCGCCAGCACACCTGCGTTAAGCAGCACTTTGACGCAGTCCAGATGCTCCCGGGCACAGGCGACGTGAAGAGGGGTCCCGAAGTGGCAGTCGTGTGCTTCCAGATTGGCCCCCACGTCAATAAGAAGCCTCACGCATTCGGAACTTCCTTAAAGCAAGCGGAAAAGGATGGGGACCGTTAATGAGCATACACGTCTGAGATAAGCCTGAGAGAAGCACAGCTGAACAGGTAAGCCCCACGCCTGGCTGCTGGGGGAGAACGGGGAACCAGAACCGCACCCCAACTGACAGCGGGTCACAACCCCGAGTTGCCTTGCGGAGCCAGAACATTGTGCTTTCTGGGCGTGCACGGTTCCCCCGGCCTGGCAGCACGAGGGACAGAGGGCACGGGTGAGCCTCTCGTGGGAGAGCAGTAGGTTTGGGAACAGCACCTCTGAGCAGCCAGGCCCGGCTCCTCAGCAGGAAGGTGCTCCCCACCTCCGGGGTCTCCTAAGCGGCGTCGGGAGCACCAGGCCTGGAGGTGATAAGCTGAAGCTGCCGGCAGCCCAAGTCCGAGCCCCCTGGAGGAGCTTCCCGAAGCTTCCTGACCTCGGAGGTCCCCCAGCCTTCTCCCTGGCAGGTGTTTTTCTGCCTCTTTCCCGGCATCTTTAACTGGGTTTGGGTGGAGGTTCATTCTGTCCCAGGCTCCATCCTCTTTCCTCACTTACTCGTGCTTCATCATCAGCAGCGGCCAAGTTTTCCACCTGTGGCCCTGAAATCCAGCCTCTTCTCTACAGCCCTCTGCTGGCCACTCTCTTGGGGATGTCTGGACCACTGTGTAGTCCTCTCCCCCGTACTAAATCCTGCTGACTCTTCCCCTAAAGGTTTCTAAATGAATCCACCCTGCCTGGGCTCCAACTCCTCTCTCCACGTCAGGATACCCCAGCCCCATCGCTCCTCTATGGGAGAGCAGCAGCTACGCCACCCCCAAAATCTGCTTCTTTAGCATAAGGATTATTTTGAGCTTAAAGCAATTATATGGCAGATATAAGAAAAGCTCTCTGCCCCCCTCCCCATCTGCCTAATAGCGGGACAGAAATTTATAACGGTCTCCCCATCCCCCTCTACCAGGAAAGACAGAAAGCAATGACCAGAGAAAATTCCAGACCCTTATCAGCCCAGAGCATTGAGAGGACTCTACGGACCAGGTGGAGCACGTAACCTCTAACAGGAGATTCTCCTGTCCCAGCGCTCCAGTCTGCAGAGGTGGGGATCCCAGGCAGAGAGGCAGGTGTGGAAGGGCGGTGGGCACGGAGCAGCTACAGGTGGCACCGGAGAGGGGTCGGTGGTGGGGGACGGCTCAAAGAGGTGAGCAGGTCCCAGGTGACCACCCCCGACAGGCCAACGAGTATGACTGGTAGGCCCGTCCAGCAGTGAGGATGACCCAAGGATTTTGAGGAGCGTTGGGACCAACTCTGTGATCCTACGCAGGGTCCTGGGTTTCATAAAGTGCCCTTGGAACTGCTCTTGACTTGAGTGCAAGTGGCATCTCCGCAGAGAATGATGGCTCTGAGTGGAGCTACGAAAGGACACGCACCCACACCCGAACATAACACTGGCCGGCACTGTGTCGGCCAATCAAAATATCGGCCACAAGTTTGCAAACTTTGCTCAGAAGAGTAGAATCCAAACTCCTTAGTGTGTCATTTAAAGATTTCCCACCTGCCGGTCTCGCCCTAAATTTCGTCTTCTCTGTCACCCCTCTCCTGGGAGCTTCCGGTCCAATGAGCCTGGACAAGTCACTTTCTCTCGCTTGGAGTGGCCTTCCTCTTCCTCTGAAACCTACTCCTTCTTGCAGGGCGGCTGAAATCCCACCTGTTCCCCGAGCCCCCAGAATGAGCGCCCTGTCCTCGGCCCGTGCTGGGTCTCCTCGAAATATAACAGGGGTCCACAGGGCAGAAGACGGTGAAGACCAAGTGAGCCATCACAGGGTAGGCTGATTTCCAGCGTTAGTATCTGAAAGGCCCTGGAGACCCAGCTAAGAAGTAGAATCCTACCCTAGAAACCATGGCCCCTGCTCCTGGTGGGGAAGGGTCTACAGGAGGAAAAGCTGAGGATTTCCACGGCTGGGGACCCGAGCTCCAGAAACAGAATGCGGGGGGGGGCGGGCCGGGGGGGGTTCTCGGCCGGCTGACGGCTTCAGCTACAATGCTAGCTTTGCTGGTGCGGACTCACCGCTCATGCAGGCCTCGTGCAACGGGGACGCTGTGTACAGGGGGGGGTTGACCTTGGCCCCGTAGGAGAGCAAGAGCTTCACACACTCGATGCTGCCGGAGGCACAGGCATCGCAGAGGGGCGTGCTGCCGTCGATGTTGCGGGCGTCCACCTGGTGGGGAGGGAGAAACGAGCGTCAGGGTGGAGGGGAAAAGCCCACACGACTCGCTTCCTCATCCTGACACACATTCATCTCTGCAAAGTCCCTTATTAGCAGTTTTGCAGCGTGTGCCAAGGTGCTGTCGCAGGCAAGGGCGTTCAAGGACAAAGGGAGATGGGCTGGCAGCGCCTCTGAGCCCACCAAGTGCAGGAGGGGCCCTTTTCCGGGCTCTTCTCTTGGGACAGGGTCAACTCGGCCTCCTGCCACCTCCTACCCGTCCCCTAGGCCCCCCTCCCCCCCAAGACTGCAAGGTGACGAAGGCAGGATGTAAAAAGGGCGTTTTAATTCCGGCTTAGGGCTGCCCGGAGCTGCTTATCGTGCCCCCTCTAGCCGGGAAATGACCCGGAGGGGAAAGCCGACCCCCAGGCTGGCGGGCTGTGCTCAGACTTCAGCTGCTGCGTGGGTACGCGCGACAGCTCGGTCCGCTTCCTGTGGGAGCGCCCTCACAGCCAAGCTCCTGGGTGCGTTCGGCCCGGAGGCTGCAGCCCATGCTCCGGGCTCCTGGCCCGCTGCTGCTGCTGCCGCTGCCCTCCGCCCAGCGACTCTGCCCGCGGCGACGGCTGGAGCTCAAGCCAGCCCGCAAGCAGGAGCAGGTGCGCAGGGAAGCAGATCCCAATCTTGTGCTTAGAATCCTGCTCTTGGACCCAGGCAGTGGCTCTTCAGCCACGGCTTCCAGCCCTCACAGACGTCTCCCTCGCGAGAAACTAGAACCACCCGCTCTTTGGCCACCCGTGCCCTCCCGGCAGCCCAGCCGTGAACCACTGCTGGCCTCCACTACACCCCACGCTGGAGGCTTCCTTCCCCTCCCCCGTGGTTTCTCTACTTTCTGTGCATTTGCAACTCGAATCCCGAGCCTCTTAGTATTTCCCCTCCCTCCATACGCGCTCCATCCATTCCCGTCCCCGGGGGTCTGTCCCAAAGGGCCCCTCACCTGGGCCCCGGCGGCCAGCAGCAGCTGAACACACTGCGCCTGGCCCTGCAGGCTGGCCGCATGCAGGGGCGTGATGGAGTCCACGGTGACCTGGTTGACACAGGCCCCGCTCTCAATCAGCTGCTGCAGCTGCAGGGTCTCGCCACGCTGGGCAGCCTCGTGCACAGGGGTGCGCTCCACCCAGAAACCTGGAAAGGAAGGCAGACCCAGTGCTGAGACCCGGGGACATGTGTACCCAGGTCAGGAGACCATGGCAGTGTCGCAAGGACGCTTCATGAAACCCAGCACCCGATGCAGGATCACGGAGTTGGCCGAAACGCTCCTCAAAACGCTCGGGTCATCCCCACTGCCGGAGCGTGGAGGTCATACTCGTTGGCACAGCCTGTCGGGGGTGGCGACCTGGGCCCTGCTCACCTCTTTGAGCCCTCCCCCCCCCCCCCCACTGACCCCTCTCCGGTGCCACCTGTAGCTGCTCCGTGCCCACCGCCCTTCCACACCTGCCTCTCCGCCTGGGATCCCCCCCTCTGCAGACTGGAGCACCGGGACGGGAGAATCTCCCGTTAGAGTCTCCTGTCACTTGCCGTACCTGCACCCGTTTGAAGTCCCCCCTTCTTCCACGACACTCGCGCACACACCCTCATTTACAGCTTGACGCCCTCTCCACCCCATCCTTGCCCAGGAGTGCCTTGAAAGTGGGGACCACCTTTAATCCACTTTAACAGGTTCCTCAGGACTTTGTACATGTAAAATCGTGTCACCTGCTAACAGCAGTAGTTTCACCACCTCCTTTCCAATCTGGATGCCTCTTCTCTTTCCGGCCTCACTGCCCTGGCTCGGACTTCCAGCTCGATGCTGAACAGAAGCGGTAAGAGCACGTCCCGGTCTTATTCGTCGACTTTCACGTCAGGGATGAGCTTAGCTGTGACTTTTTCACAGGTGGCCTTTATCAGGTGGAGGACATTCACCTCCCTTTCTAGTTGTTGTTGTTGTTGTTGTTTCTAATCACCAGATGGCGTTGGATTTTTGTTCAATGCTTTTTCTGCATCTAATGCAGTGCTCCTGCCGGCGTTCCTTAATTGTGGAAGCGGTTAGTACATTAACAGACTCTCAGATGTTAAGCCAACTATGTATTTCTGGCATAAACCCCCTTGGTCATGATGCCATAGCATGTTTGGTTTGCTAGTGTTCTCAGGACTCTTATATCTACACTCGTAAGTCAGTTGTCTTATGATTGATGTTTTTATCTGGTTTTTCCGGCTCCATAGAATGAGTCAGGAAATTATTGTCTCTTCCAAAAATTGGAAAGCACTGGTATCGAATCTTTAAATGTTGGGTCAAGTTCATCTGGGAAGATCTCTGGGTCTGGGCTTTCCTTTGCTATAAGCTTTAATTCCTAATTCCACATCTTCATTTGCTACAGGTCTATTCAGAGTTTCTATTTTTTTTGAGTCAGTTTTGGTGTCTATTTTTTGCCAATTTTGGTAGTTTGTGTCTTTATTGGAATTTCTCCACTTTGCGTACATCCTCTAATCTGTTGGCCTACAATTGGTTATGGACTGAATTTTGTCCCCAAAACTCGTAAGCAAAGCCTGAACCCTATATACCTCTGAATGTGACTGTGCTTGGAGTCTGCACGGTTTCAGAAGTAATGAAGTCAAGGTGAGGTCATTAGAGCCTGCCCTAAACCCATCTAAGTGGAGTCTTCATGAGGGGAGATTAGGACACAGACACCTGGGATGGGCTGAACAGAGGAAGGGCCATGTGAGGACACAGTTAGAAAGTGGCCATCTGTAAGCCAAGGGGTGGAGGGGCCTCAGCAAAAACCAGCCTGGCTGAGCCCCTGATCTTGGACTTCCAACCTCCAGAGCGTGAGAAAATGAATGTGCACTGTGTAGGCCACCCAGTGGCATTTTGTCACAGCAGCCCTGGCAGACTGACACGCCACCGTTCACACTGTCCCTCTGTGGTCCTCCTTTCTAGAAAGGCCAGAGTAACGTCATCCCTTTCCTCCTTGATCTTCGTGATCTGCATCTTTTTCCTTGAGGTTTGTCGATTTCATTGCTCTTTCCAGAGAACTTTTGGTTTTGTTGGCTTTCTGTGTTGTTTTTTCTATTCCCTATTTCACGGATGTCCTGTCTAATCTTTGTTTTTCCCCTTCTACCTCCTTCAGCTCCAGTTTTCATGGATGTCCTGTCTAATCTTTATTATTTTTTCCCTTCTACCTCCTTCAGCTCTAGTTTTCTATTTCCGGTGTCTTAAGGTGGAAGGATATTGATTTGAGCTGTTTCCTCTTAATATAAATGTTTACGGCTATAAAAGTCCTTCAAGTGCTACTGGGACTCTCCTCTCATGAGTTTGGTAGATTATCCGCATTTTTATTCATCTCAAACTAAAACTATTTTTACATTCATTCCAACCTCAATGTATACATTCAACAAACCTGTAACTGATCAAGGCACTGCTCTGATCCCAAAATGGAGTAAAATTCTCTCTCCTACACTGGCTCACCCCTCCCCATCACTCCCTTTGGCTATACAAAAAGTGTTCTGACCTCCTGATCCCTTTAACCAGTGGCCCTCACACCTGAGCATCCAACAGTGTCACCTGGGGGCTATGAGAATGGACTGCTGAGCCCCACCCCAGAGTCAGCAGGTCTTGGTGCCTGAGAATCTGCGTCTCTAATAAGTTCCCACATGATGCTGATGTTGACGCTGTGGTCTGGGGACTACACTTTGAGAACCACTGCTTTAGACAATACCTCTCCCTCTGAATGAAGGCCCTTTTCTCCCCCCATCTCCCCTCACTCCCACCTTTCCCACTCACCCTGGATGAGTTCTGCTTGTACCTCTCCACGCTGCAATCCAGTGCTTATTTCTTCCAGGAGGACTTGCCCCACCTCTGCCCCTACGCACCCTGGGTTAGCATCTCGTCTGTGTCCCGTCAGCCTGCCTCCCTGTCCCCACCAGCCTGTGGCAAGGACAGCACGGGGACTAAGCTCTGCTACATCTGAAACTTGGCTCAGCCACTTATCAGCTTCTGTGGGACGTAGCTTCCCTTGACTGTCTCTTCACCTGTACATGGGGATGATGATAATAGTTTATTCATTGGTGGGTTATGAAAATTCAGTAGATTATAGTGAGTGAAAGCACCTACTGTGGGGACTGGCACAAAGTGCTCAGTAAATGCGGTCTATTTATAATACCCCTCCTCCCCCATCGTGCCTACCTGTCTTGTCCGCTAGCCAAAGAGCCTGTGACCCCATGAAATGGGGACTTGATCGTATGAGTGGTGGAGGATGGAGCAAAAGGAGAGCTGAAACTCAGAAAGATTTGATTCTCACAAAATATAAAAGCCAAGCTCGTGGAACTTTCTATTTACCACTTCAAGAAGGGGACCCCCCAGTATGTTTGTTTAGCAGTGACTACCAGGCATGGGCACACCTGTCTTGGGGGTTAGTGAAAAGTGGCTATCGTTCCAGAGTCACACTGGAAGAAGCAAAACCCCACAGGTAGGACGAGGAGTTGCAACCTTCAAAAGAGGAGGGCAGGGCGAGGCCCTCAATCATATAGCAAAAAAGGGAAATGCAGCTCAGGAAAGCCAGTGCACCTTCCATTTCTTGCACTTTGCGGATAATTGTGTTTTTTTTCCGAATCGAAGGCTTCTGGCAATCCTGTGTTGCAATTTTTCCAGCAGTGTTTGCTCACTTTGTGTCTGTCATGCTTTGCTAATTCTTGCAATATTTCAGACTTCACTACATCTGTCATGGTGATCTGTGACTAATAATCTTTGTTAGTATGGTGATGTTTCAGGATGCCATGAACCGTGCCCACGTAAGATGGTGAACTTAATCGACAAACATTGTGTTCCAACTTCTCCACCAACCAGCTCTTTTCCCCAGCCTCCCTATTCCCTAAGACCACCACACTGAAATTACGACCAATTAATAACCCTACGATGGCCTCTGGGCCTTCACGTGAAGGGAAGAGTCCTACATCCCTCACTTTAAATCAAAAGCTAGAAATGATTAAGTTCGGTAAGGGAGGCATGTCGGAGGCAAAGACGGGCTGAAAGCTAGGCTTCTTGACCCCAACAGCCAAGGTGTGAATGCTAAATTTTCTTGAAGAAAATTAAAAGTGCTACTCCAGCGAACACGTGGATGATAAGAAAATGAAACCGACTTACAGCTGATCTGGAGAAAGTTCAGATGGTCTGGACAGAAGATCAAAGCAGCCACAACATTCCCTTAAGCCAGAGCCTAACCTAGGGCGAGGCCCCACCTCTCCTCAATTCCACGGAGGCTGAAAGGTGAGGAAGCTGTATAAGAAAAACTGGAGGCTGGCAGAGGTTGGTTTGTGAGGTCTGAGGAAAGAGGACAACTCTAAAACATGGAGGCACAGGATGATGCAGCAAGTGCTGATGTCAAAGCTGCAGCAGGCTATCCAGAAGATGTAGCTAAGAAAATTAACGAAGGTGGCTATGCCAAACAGATGATCGGTGGAGATGAAACAGCCTTCTATTGGAAGAAGATGCCATCTAGGACTCTCATAGCTAGAGAGAAGTCAGCCTGACTCTCTTGCTGGGGTTAATGAAGCTGGTGACTTTCAATTGAAGCCAGTGCTCGCTGACCATTTCAAAAATCCCAAGGCCCTTAAGAATTAGGCTACCCGGGCTCTATAAATGGAACGACAAAGCCCAGGTGACAGCACATATGTTTGCAACATGGTTTACTGACTACTTTAGGCCCACTGTTGAGACTTACTCCTTGGAAAAAGATCCTTCCAAAATATTCATTAATAATGTGCCTGGTCACCCAAGAGCTCCGATGGAGATGAACGAGATTCATGGTTCCATACCTGCTAACACGACGTCATTCTGCAGCCCATGGATCAAGGAGTCATTTCAGCTTTCAAGTCTTATTATTTAAGAAATACATTCCATAAGGCTATAGCTACCATAGTGATTCCTCTGATGGATCTGGGCAAAGAAAACTGAAAACCTTCTGGAAAGGATTCACCACTCCAGATGCCATTAAGAACTTTCATAATTCGTGGGAAGAGGCCAAAATATCAACATTCACAGGATAACAGGAGTTGGGAGACGTTGGTTCCAGCCCTCGTGGATGACTTTGAGGGGCTCATGACCTCAGTGGAGGGAGTCACTGCAGATGAGATGGAAAGAGCGAGCAGACCAGAATCAGAAGTGGGGCTGTAAAGTGGAATAAGAGCTGTAATCTCCTGACAAAACTTGAACGGAAAAGAAGTTGCTTCTCACGGAGGAGCAAAGAAAGTGGTTTCTTGAGATGGAATCTACTCCTGGTGAAGACTGTTGAAATGACAGCAAAGGATTTAGAATACAACATAAACCCTGCTGACAAGGCAGCAGCAAGGTTTGAGAAGACTGACTCCAATTTTGAAAGAACTTCTGGGGATAAAGTGCTATCAAACAGCATCACATGCTCCAGAAAAAGTTTGTGAAGGCAAGAGTCCAGCAACGCGGCCAAGTTCGTTGTTATCTTAAGAAACTGCCACAGCCACCCCAACTTTCACCACCCTGCTAAATCAGCAGCCATCACCATCGAGGCAGGACCCTCCACCAGCAAGACGATCAGATGACAGCATTCTTCGCACGAAAGCACTTTTACAGTTAAGGTTTGTTTTCAGAGGATCGCATACTCGACAGGCCAGTGTAAACATAACTTTTATATGCACTGGGAACCCCCCAAAATTCATGTGATTCTATTGCAACATCCACTTACTGTGGTGGTCTGGAACTGAACCCAAAATATTTCCAAGGTGTGCCTGTGTAGGTTCCCAGGCACGGGGATGCAGACCAAGCTGTGCTTCTGATCGTGGACCCCACAGGCAGACACATGTCTCACGGTGGGAAAGGCCATATAGTAACAAGTGGAGACGGGAGGTAGGCAGTAAAAGCTTTCCATGTCCCCTGAGGAACCCACAGCAGGACGCGGCTCATCCACCCAGCCCAGCAGTCCAAGTAGCCCTGCAAACCGATTACAGACGAATGTACTTGATGTGAAGGGTGTGAGCCTTTTAGCATAAAACCAGCAACCCAGGAAAGCCCCGCCTGGGTTTAAACCTCAGCCTTGCCTCTTTCTAGCTGTGTGAACTCCACCGTACCTCTAAATTATCAATAATAAGTGTATTGCAGCTGCCTCTGGGCTTGTGACCAGCACTGGCACATAACCTAAGCAGCACCAGGCTCTTATCGTGGTCCCAGAAACCGTCTCTCCTTTCTCTCTCCAGCTGACCAGATGGTAGCGATCCCCCCAGATGGCAGCGAGCTGTGTTTAGAGTTCACGGCTAAGGATGACAGAAAAAATCCAGCTCCCCTTGCTTAGAACCTCAAATCCTTAAGGTACCCTTTTATCATTGTCTGCCAGCCTCTCGAATACAGCTCTTGAGTATAGATCCTGAACACAGGATCACTTTTTCCACTTCGCAAAAGGATGCTTGCCCTTGGGTCCCTAACAACCTGTATTACATTGGCTAAGTTATAAATATAGGATTCACTTAGGAGGTGGCTTGCCCTAAATTCTCTGCAGAGCTTTACAATATGGCCTTAATAAGTATAATCTTTACCTCTGTGAGGCGTTCTATAAAAAAAAAAAAAAAAAAAGGAAAAATCTACCTGCTTTGAAGTATATATACCACACATCTACAATTTCAGATCAGAAAGTTAAAATGGGTTATCGTCCCTACAGTGGGCCATTGCTTCTGCTGGGATAGCAGTGTTCTGGATTCAATACATTCAGCTTATCCGTTAATGCTGAGAATGAAAATGTCAGGAACCTATTTTTAGAGGAAATAAACAATGACAGTCAAAAATATCCATGAACCCCAGAAGCTGTAAAATCCATTGGTTGAGCAAGCTTTTCTCTTAAAGATTCCTTAAACCATGCTCAGAAAAGTGAAGGCTGCGCTATTGAAGATGCTCCCTGAACAAAACATGAAAACGTGTCCACGTGGCCCTGGTTAGCCATTCTTTGCTTATTTTAACTGAACCAAACACAGATGCACTGGAGGGGTCAAAGTCTTGCACCTGCCTGCGGTGGAATGCCAAGTAAAACCAGATGTTTACTAAATGTCTTTGATCATGTTCAAGGTGGCTATTTTCCAGGATCCATTCAAATATCTGCCTTGCTGTGACGTCAAGTCCCCTTACGCCAAATTTACCCTTAAGATGTCTCACTTTTATCGGCACTGTTTTTACCAGTGTGAAAGTACTTTAGTTTTGTTTGTTTGGTTGGTTTTGGTTTTTTGCTTCCAGGCTTTCTAAGTGCTTTCTCAGGTCACTTCATCTGCTGTAGTATTTACTTCGTAGGGAAGTCTCCTTCCCCACAGAATGTCCCTTTGCCCTCGGATCCATTTTATTCTCCCGTAGCCTGAATGGTAGGAAGAACCGAGATGGCTTTTCTTTTTTTTTAAACATGGGGTGACCTGTCACAAGGGCATTATCTTCCTTCTGGGGCACACGCCTTCGGTCACAGCCGGATAGACCTGTAGGATGCTAATGACAGTGCGACACGACCTTCCCACAGGGTCCCTGGAAGATGTTCCGGCTCCCACACGGGGCTCTGCGGGGCTGCCCTAGGAGCGGTCCAGCAGAGGCAACTCTGGGTGCTCTGAACTTGGGGATGACCATGCCCACCCCTCCCTGCGCCTTCCCCAAGGTGCGCCGATGGGTCTGCGGTTGGGAAGTCCCGCGACTGGCGCGTCACAACGCTGACCGGGGCCAAGACGCCGGACGCAGAGAGCGCCTCAGATGCTTGGGGTTACCGACCTCGCTCCCCGTAAGGACACGGCGGCGCTCCAACCTGGGCCCACCGAAACGCCCCTGCCGGCGTCCTCCGACGCACCTGTCCGGCCGGGAACAGCCCCGCGGTCCCCGCGCCCCCAGCACCCATGCCGCCCGCACCCGCACGTACCCACGTCGCCCAGGTAGCAGCCGTCCGCCGCGCGGGGCTCCATGCCGCACGCCCGCCCGCTCGCCGCCGCGCGCCCGCCCGCATACCCCGGCGGCTCGGGTGCCCGCGACCTGGGCGGGGCTCCGCTGGCTGGGCGGGCCTACGGGGCGCGGCGTCCTCCCGAGGGACCACGGGAGTTGTAGTTCCGCCGCGGCCTGGCGCCGGGTAGTCCGTGCGCGCCCCGCTGGTGCTCCCGGCCCGGCTTCGGCCGCAGCCTCCGCGGCGCCCCAGGGCCGCTCAGCCCTTGTGACGCCGAGTCGGGCTTCCTGCCGGAGCGGGGACGCTCCCCGTGTCTGTCACCTGAATCGTTTAGGTTCGGGAGAACCCAGCAGGCGCGCCTTTCCGAGCCTCGCGGCGGGAAAGAGCCGGTTTCCTAATAAGTCCAGGCGGACAACCGAATGAGCCCTTGTGCTTTGCTTTGCTTTTCCCAAAGGCAGTTGCGTGATGCGGCAGGTTTACCTTTGTCCAAGTTCCTTGCGGCCTGGTCACGAGATTTCTCACCAGGTCTGACCTGTATTGAGCCTACCTGTAGAAGTTAGCTTGGGCTGGAAAGTAAAAATACCAGAAATTACCTGATGCGGAAATACAGGAGGACTACTGGAGTGCGGAAGGTCTGATCTCTCGCTTGGACGACTCGAATGTTCCTCCGGTCCAGACCACAGGCACGCACTGAGTGGAGGCTGAACCTTGTCGGTCTGACCAGAGCTGCTGGGGAGTCACAGCCCCAGCCTTGCAAGTGACATCTCAAGCCTATTAGTGTGGCTTTGCACCCCTTTGCGTACCATAATTAGGCTTTTGCATTTTTCTTGCCAGTTTCTGGCATTCTGTATTAACTGTACGTTTAAAAAATCTGTTTGCTGCGGGATGTTATGTTTTTTCCTATGACGATGCCTTGTTTGTATGTTTGTATTTTCTTTGATTTTTCTTCCTTGGCAAAGTCTCTTCTAGGTCTTAGTATAGACTGTATATTTGTGTAAGCCACATATATTTATAAACCATATATTTTTGTTTGTATACGTACCTAGTACTTATTTGTTAAATGTTAGCAGATATTTCCTCATTAGCTTATTTTGGAAATTTTTCCTTCTTCTGTTGCTTGATTTCAGTATTACAGAAGAGCTTTAAGTGTTTATATATTCAGACACACATACTCTGAGAGTGTTCCCTCTTCATATTCAGAATGTACTTCCCTAGCAAGGGCCAGAGCAGGTATGTTATTTTTGTTCTGTTCTGCTGGTAAGTATTTAAGTCTGGATTTTTTTGCGGCGGTTAGAATCTAAGTTAATTTTCCTCCAAGTTAAAATACATTTCTTTAAAATATTATTAAACAGTAACTTATCTATCTTTGTGTTAATTTCCTTTTATTGCATACAGGCATACTCATTTTATTGCATTTCACTTTATTGCACTTTGCAAATCTTGCCCTTTTTTTTTCTTAACAAATTGGAGTTTGTGACAACCTGTGGCAAGCATCTATCAGCACCATTTTTCCAACAGCATTTGCTCACTTTGTGTCTCAGTGTCACTTTTTGGTAACTTTGGCAGTATTTCAAATGTTTTCAGTATCATGATGATCTATGATCAATAATCCTCGATGTTACTGTTGTAATTGTTTGGAGGCGCCATGAACCACACCCATGGAAGACCTCAGACTTACTTGATAAATGCTGTGTGCTCCACTGACAGGCTGTTTCCCTCAGTCTCCCCCTCTCGGGCCTCTCTATTCCCTCAGATGCAATAATGTTGAAATCAGGCCAATCAACAACCCTACGATGGCCTCTACCTGTTCAAGTGAAAGGAAGAGTCGCACATCTCTCACTTTAAATGAAAAGCTAGACATGAGTGAGCTTAGTGGGGAAAGCATGTCGAAAACCAAGACGGGCTGAAAGCTAGGCCTCTTGCAACAAACAATTAGCCAAGTTGCGAAGGCAAAGGAAAAGTTCTGTTCTTTTTTTTTTTTTTTTAATGTTTATTTCTGAGAGCGTGCACGTGGGGGAGGGGCAGAGAGAGGGAGACACAGAATCCAAAGCAGACTCCAGGCTCCAAGCTGTCAGCACAGAGCCCAACTCGAGGGCTTGAACTCACAGACCATGAGATCATGACCTGAGCCTAAGTCGGACGCTCAACCGACTGAGCCACCCAGGCACCCCAGGAAAAGTTCTTCAAGGAAACTGAAAGTGCTACTCCAGCAAATACAGGGATGATAAGAAAGCAAACAGCCTTATTGTTGATACAAAGTTTGGTCTAGATGAGAGAGCGAACCAGACACATTCCCTTAAGCCAAAGCCTCATCCAGAGCAGGGCCCTGACTCCTCAATCGCACAAAGGCAGAGAGGTGAGGAAGCCGCAGAAGAAAAACTCGCAGACCTGGGTTGCCCGTCTCCCGAACAAAAACCTGCGTGGTGAAGCAGCAAGGTCCAGAAGATCTAGCAAAGAAAACAAAGTTGGCTACGCCAGCTTATCAATGTAGATAAAACAGCCTTATGTTGGAAGAAACCACCACATCAAATTAGTGTCTTTATTTTCTTCATATGAATACCCAGAAGTAGTAGTTCTATTTTTTTATTTTTTTGAGGAACCTCCATACTGTTTCCCATGATGGCTGTGCCACAGTGCGGTGTTCCCTTTTCTCTGCGTCCTCACCAATGCTTGTTATTTCTTGGGGTTTTTTGTTAATAGCTAGTCTAACAGGTGTGGAGTGATATCCCATTGTGATTTTGATGATTAATGATGTTGAGCATGTTTTCATGTACCTGTTGGCCAATTGTATGTCACCTTTGGAAAAGTGACTGTTCAGGTCCTCTGCCCATGTTTTAATCAGCTTATTTGTTTGCTATCGAGTTGTAGGAGTTCTTTATATATTTTGGGTATTAACTCCTTATCAGATCTATGATTTGCAAATATTTTTCTCTCATCCAATAGAGATGGCTTTTTATTTTGCTGATGGTTTCCTTTACTCTGCAGAAGTTTTTACTTTTTTTTTTTTTAAGTTTATTTATTTTGAGACAGACAGTGATAATGCAAGTGGGAGAAGGGCAGAGAGACAGGGAGACACAGAATCCCAAGCAGTGGGGATTCTGCACCGTCAGTGCAGAGCCTGATAGCAGGACTCAAACGCATGAAACCATGAGATCACGACCCGAGGCAAAACCAAGATTTGGACACTTAACCGACTGAGCCACCCAGGCGCCCCAGAAGCTTTTTACTTTGATGTAGTTCCAATTGTTTGTCTTTGCTTTTGTTACCTTTGCTTGTGGTGTGAAATCCAAAAAGAAAAAAGAAATCACCAAAATCAATGTCCAGGAACTTACCGCTCATTTTCTTCTAGCAGTTTTATGGTTTCAGGTCTTAGGTCCAAGTTTTTAACCTATTTTGAGTTGATTTTTGTGTATTTTATAAGAGTGGTCCAGTTTCATTCTTTTGCATGTAGTTATCCAGTTTCCCCAACACCATTAGTCCAAGAGACTGTCTGTTCCCCCAATGGTATGGTCTCGGCTCATTTCTTGTGAATTGATTCACCATATACACTCACGGACTTACTTCTGGGCATGCCGCTCTGTTTCATCAATTTATGCGTCTATTTTGTTAAATTCCAGTGTAGTTAACATACAGTGATATACTCGTCTCAGGTGTAGAATATGGTGACTCAGCAGTTCCGTACATTACTCGGTGTCCACCACATAAGTGTACTCTTTTTTTTTTTTTTCAACGTTTATTTATTTTTGGGACAGAGAGAGACAGAGCATGAACGGGGGAGGGGCAGAGAGAGAGCGGGAGACACAGAATCGGAAACAGGCTCCAGGCTCCGAGCCATCAGCCCAGAGCCTGACGCGGGGCTCGAACTCACAGTCCGCGAGATCGTGACCTGGCTGAAGTCGGACGCTTAACCGACTGCGCCACCCAGGCGCCCCCATAAGTGTACTCTTGATCCCCTTCACCTGTTTCACCCATCCCCCACCCAGTCGTCTCTGGCAACCATTGGTTCTCTGTAGTTAAGAATCTGTTTCTTGATTTGTCTTTCTCTCATTTCCTCTGTTCATTTGTTTCTTAAATACTGCATATAAGTGAGAGCATATGATATCGCCTTTCTCTTTTATTTTGTTTAGCATCATACTCTCTAACCCATTCGTGTTGTTGCAAATGGCAAGATTTCACTTGTTTTATGGCTAAATAATATTCCACTGTGTATATATACCACATATTTATCGATTCATGTATCTACAGATACTTGGGCTGCTTCCATAACTTGGCTGTTGTAAACAATGCTACTATAAGCATGCAGATACATGTATCCCTTTGAATCAGTGTTTTTGTATTTGGGGGGTAAGTACCCAGTAATGTGATTGCCGGATCATAGAGTACATCTATTTTTAACTTTTTGAGAAATCTCCATACTGTTTTCCACAGTGAATGCACCAGTTTGCATTCCCACCAACTGTGCACAGGGCTTCCTATTTCTCCAGGTTGACATTTGTTATTTATTGCGTTTTTTTTTATTTTAGCCATTCTGATTGGTGTGAGGTGATCTCTCAGAGTGGTTTTGATTTGCATTTCTCTGGTGATGAGTGATGTTGAGCATCTTTTCACGTGTCTGTTGGCCATCAGCATGTATTCTTTGGAAAAATGGATGTTTATGTCTTCTGCCCATTTTTAATTGAAAAAAAAAATTTTTTTTTGGTGTTGAGTTGTATCAGTTTCTTATATGTTTTGTATACTAACCCGTTATCAGATATGTCATTTACAAATATCTTCTATTCGGTAGGTTGCCTTTTAGTTGTATTGCTTGTTTCCCTTGCGGTGCAGAAGCATTTATTTGATGTGGTTCCATTAGTTTATATTTGCTTTTATTTCCCGTGCCGCAGGAGACATAATCTAGAAAAACACTGTTTCACCCAATGTCACACACATTGCTGTGTGTGCTGCCTGTGCTCTCTTCTGTGATTTTTATGGTATCACGTTTAGGTTTTTTTTTTTTTTATCCATTTTGAATTTATTTTTTGTATATGGTATAAGAAAGTGATTCAGTTTCATTCTTCTGCATGTAGCGAGCTGTCCAGTTTTCCC